GAGAGAGAGAGAGAAAAGTTAGTCCCCTTGGTCCCAATTCTCTCAACAGCCCATTGGTGTATGTAGTGCCGCCTAAGGAACAATGTTAGTGATCGTAAATACCTTCGTAGTACAAAAGCAACACTCGAATTCGCTAGGTATTTCATCATTTTTCTCGAATTTTCTGCTGTCTTTTTTCTCTTCATCCTACAATGTCACACACACAATTTCCTATTTTACTTTCCGTAACACACAGCTCGCTCTGCTCGGATGCGATCAAATTATTTCGCTCTCTTTTTTTTTTTATTATATGAAAATTTCATCTATGACAAATATAATATAGAAATAAATATAGAAATATTTAAGTTGCAAAAATAATTTTCTTTAATTGTTTCGATTTCTCTTATTAGAAAATTATTAAAAAATAATTTTATTAAATTTATTAATTAAATTTGTACTCAAGCTAGAAAATCAATAACAATATTAAATCTTAATTAAAACTTGTTTTTAACTTAATAAGTATTTCTTTTCCGCTTTATAAGTATTCTTTTCCGCATACAAAATAATTCAAGCGCTTCCCAAACGAGCGAACACATTAATTAATCCTTTGAAGCACGCATTCAAGAAAAAAACTTTCATGTGATATTAGTTACCTTGTTTCTAATCGAACAACTGTATCTCGAATAAAAGTTTTCGCAAGGAGTGTCGGTCATTGGATACAGTTATCGCATAATCCTCGTTCCTCATTATACATGTAACAAGCGAGAGATTCTTCAATTTCTATAATGAAATGGAGCACCTATTATCAACGGTGCTTTGAAAGCTAAAAGGAAACACGAACGAGGCAACATATGATCACGTGGAGCCAGAGAGAGAAATTTCTCATATTCAAGGGAAAAAAGGAAAATGTGTTACAATTGTGTCAATTTGTTAAAAAAAGGTTTGTAATGTTTGTAATGCATAAACCAATACGTAAATCGTGGTGTATATAAACTATTTTTTAGAAAAAGATGTAAAACTTTTTTTTAATCTTTTTTCTAGAATTTTAAATGAAAATATGATTTCTTAAATAAAAAGTACATTTTTCGAACTTTCAATTTAGTTCAAATCAATCTATAATTTTGTTGTATATTATTTTTGGTTATATTGTATTATGATATTATATATATATATATATGTACTAATAATAGCTTGGAAAGATTTTAGAATATGTCTCAAGAATTCGGACGGGATCGGTTTGAGAATTTAAATTGAATTATATAATTGTATAATCATAATCATATTGAATCATGAATTGAATCATACATGAAGATAGCTATGTTTTGAAATATATGAAATATTCAAAATTTAAAATGAAATTATAATTGAAACAAAGTTTATTTCGTATATAATGCACTTATATAATGCTATATATGTATAATTCTATATATATAATGCTATATATTATAATATAAACTTACTGATAATTTTTCATCAAATAAATTAACATAAATTTACAAAACATTTACAATTATAATTCTTCAGGAAAAGAGAAATTATTCTTTTTCTTAATCCTTATGGTTTTTGATTTTACCATTCCTTAAAAATATTGATCAAAATTATTATGAATATAATTGTTAATATTTTCTTGATATTATATTGAAATCTTTGTTTTCAGTTAAAAATGTATAAATAATATAAATAAAAATAATAATATTTAAATTTAATAATATATTTTTTTTATCCAAAAATCACAAAATAATCTTAATTAAATAAAATAAAAAGCAATCATCAAAATGAAATATTTCCATCTTTACTATTATATATATCATTACTATGATAAAATAGAAAAATAAATAATATATGATAATAAAAAGTAAATAGTAATGACTATTATATTAATTTTATTTTTGCTTAAAATTATAAATTATTTGTTAATGAAATTGCTAGAAATAACGCACAAATCTTTTTTTGTCATCGTATAATTTAAGATTTATGTGTTATATGTTATGTATTTTCAATAATTACGTATTTTCCTATTTTATGTTTATTTACATATTTTATATCTTTTCAATAATAAATTATTTCGACAATAAACATTTATATTTATATTTAATATAAATAACATTTATATTTCAAGAAAGTATAGTTGTCGTAATTATTATATTATCATGAACAAATTGTTGTAAATAAATAACTTTAATAGAACGAACCAATTTTTTAAATAAAAGATATAATATTTCTATATTTCCTTAGTTCTTTAATTAAAAAATGAAATTGAAAAAACAAATTTTTATCTTAGATACTTTTGTTTTTAAGATTTTAAGTATAAATCTTAAATAATTAAATCGAGGATTACAGCAAGATTAAGAATAGAAAATATTGTATAGTATGAAAGATATTGTATAGTAAATATAGTTAAAGTATTTTATGATTGATTACAATTCTCTCAAGACAAGTTTTCTTGTATATATTAAAATGTGAAAAATTTGAAATATAGAAATTTCGATAGTGATGTTTTTAATTTTAATATTGAAGGACTATTACAATAAATAAAATATTGCATTTTATAATTTTTATATTATATTTTGGTAATTTAATCGATTTTTTATTTAAAATTAAAATATACATATTAAACTTTTTCTAAAATACATAATATAGAGAAAAATAGAATATTGGCATAGAGTAATTATGTATATATATATATATAAAAATATATAAAAAAAATAGAAAAATATAATAATATATTATTATTATAAAAATATAATAATATTAATATATAAAAAAAATTTCATAAATATATTATGATTATTCACAAAAAATTAATACTTAAATGATTTTAAATAAGTGTTCTACTTCACTTTTTTTGAAGACCAATAAGTATTCTATTTTACAAGAGTATTTTATTTTGACAAGAATGATATTTCAATATTTCTAAAAAATCTTATTTTTCTTCATAGTTAAATATATTTTTAAATTTTATTTTTCCATAATTAAAATTTTATTTTTAAAATAATTCTATTAGCTCTGTGAAAAATTAGAATGTGAGAAAACAAAAAATTTATAATATCTTAAACATTCTTTAATATCAATATTAATTTTTTTGTTTATAGAACTTTTAGTTATTATAGATTAGATATGTAAGATTTGAGAAATACGTTAATTATATTAAAAAATTATATTAAAGAATTCATTCATTTAATTTATTCGCTTATATATTTTTCCGTATTATTAAATATTTAGAAAAAAATTATTCTAATGATAGAATGAACTTTATTTTATATAAATTAAAAATTTAATTCATAAAATTTTACATTATATAAAGTGAATACATATACAAACATATAGATTCTTTTCTTTTTTTCAATAAACTACAGATATATATTATAAATAAAAATAAAAAATTATTATACGTATTATAAAAATATGAAGTTTTTGACTTAAAATTTTTTTGTTATAAAATTTTAGATAAATGATTTCCTGATATTAAAAGAATTTTTCATTTTAAAATATCATTTTAAAATAAAAAAAAAAAAGATCAATTATATTTATCATACTTATTTAGATATATATTATGCCATTATAATTATTTAATATAATTAGATAATAAATATATTATGTAAAAAATCTTTCTTTTTTATTTTACTTTTTTATTTTAATAAAAACTATGTTATAATTTATATTCTTATACTAAAAATATATATAGACATACACATACATTTATATACACATTTTCTGTAAAAGAAAATTTTTCATGCGTAAAATATTTAATTTAAAACTTTTATCTAAATGAATATTTTTTTTGCGTATTTATTGATACTTTATTGGTAAGTAATTAAATAAAGTTTTATAATTTTAATATTTTTTAAAAATTTTGAGATTCTTAGCATTCATATATAAAATTCCAATCCTGTTCAATTTTTTTTTATTTAACCTGAATCTGAAATAGCTGATATATATCCATAGATGTCAAATATATATACTTTTTATTATTATATATATGTACAATATTTCTAATTTCTCTTTCCTATATTTAGAGTGAATAATTAGAATAGTTAGAGTGAAGAATATAAAAATTTTTTATAAAAAATTCGAATTAAAATGAAATCAAATAAGTAATCTGTTGTTGTTATAAACTATTTTTTTAATCTTTTATTTGAAAATAAAATTTTTACCACCACTATTTCCGAATTCGTTAGCATATGTTTACAAGGTACAAGGTATACAAGGTTTTCAAGTATAAGTATAATGAAGTATTAATTGAGATATATTATTTATATACGTATATACTGTAGTAACAGTGAAAACGCATCGTGAAAAGAAATTAATATATGGACGTCACAATTGTTTTTCGTTTTTTACATAAAAAAAACTGATTATAATGCTATTTTTAAAATAAAATATTTTTTTTTTCATATCTTATATGTATAAAAAAAAAACGAATTTTAATTTTAATTTTTTTAATCCATTATATGTCATATTATTATTAACATAATCAAGAGGAAAAAGGGCAGAAGTAAAATCAATAAACTTTATTTAAAATAAAATAAAACAATATAAATATTTAATATCTCAAACTGCATTTAAAATAAAAATATCAAAATCGATGTAATGATTTTTCGAACAACAATATGACGTCTCCCACTTTTATTATATATTATTTATTCATATATTATTTATTAATACCAAAAAAAAAACTGTTTTAATTATCACTTCTTTGAAGTTAGTTCAAAATTAATTTTATTAATTATTTCTAACCTCGAAAAATTATTTATTGGACGAATTTCAATAAACAAATAATCAATCGAATTATAATCGTTTAAAATTAGATTTAAAATTAATTTTATTTGATTACAAGAAAATTTCTATCGAATATAAGAATGGACATCGAATTATGTCGAATTACTATTATAAATACGAGCTAAAAGATCAACAATAAAAATTACAACTGCCGATAATTCCAATGATTCAATTATTTCATTCTTATAACCAGTATTATTAATACATGTGTATAATAATTATATATACAGGCAGTGTTTTGAAGAATTGTTTTTTAATTAACATTGAATTGTAACAGTATATCTATCAAATTTGATTACTCATTTATTATAGGAAGATTGTTAATAGTGATTTATTTTTTCAAGAATCATATTCAAGAATATTACTTTTTGTTACTTTCTAAATCATTTGTTAAACATTAAATTGAGCGTCAATTTTCTTGCGTATTG